GCCACCACATGGAATCGAAGGGTTTTGGAAAAACTCCCGCCTACTTCGAATGGAAGGGCGTTTCGTACCTGAAGAAGATGTAATATTGAAGTATGTCCCCTGACCTGAACCCACTCAGTTACCTAGTCGGGCGGAGTTCAAGAGGGTGGTCTACGGTGGCGGAGAAATCAACGATCTCGCTCAACTCCGGTACCCACTCACTTTCGCGCGGCCGAATCTCTCGATGGCGCTCCTCCAGAAGGCTGTGGCGGAGTATCATTATAGTATTTAATGTGCTCTTTAATATGGTAGTAAAAATGTCCGATAAAAATTTAATAAAGTGTAACTTATAGCGCCTTGAAAGTCATGGAGGCAAAATGACTTTTTTTTGCCCCCCCCCCTGTATATACCGGCAGTACAAAACTGGTCTGCGCTCCAGAACTGGCTTCTCAATTTTTGACATAAATGTTACTGCAAGCACTGGGGCAAGCCTTTGTCCCATCGCTAGCCCCCTAGTCTGTTTGTAGTACTCGCCCGACCACTTGAATATGTTACACATGAGACATTCCTTAAGAAGCGTCATGGCCTGGGATATTGTAAGGCCGAAAAAATTAATAGAGCCGTGATGTTCACTGAGAAGTTCGAAAACGGCTTGCATAGCACAAGTCGTTAGACACATTTGTGTACAATGAGGTGACGTCAAAGGACTCCATCATCCCTCCACTCTAGTGTCCCGAAGTTTCTGCAGAAGCGCGTTAGTGTTGGGAAGATGTGCAGGAAGGTGTTTTAGAAGCTGCACAAATATTAAATTCAGAAACCATGAGAGTCTATCTGTGGGACCAACGTTGCTTACGATTGGTCTGACTTTAAACTGAGATGGGTCCTCCACAGATGCACCGCCTGGGGAATTTTATGAGTCTTAATGAGCACGTAGAGAACTGGGCACACAGGCAATTCACATTTGAGCCGCGTAATGATGTTCCTAGGAAGACTGGACTGTGCGTGCCAGCTCAGTCCACACTCTATTAGGCGGCGGTCTGCTTAGTGAACTCTTCATGAGTAGAAGGACAATAAACCACTCTATCCTGAAGGTGTGCCCGTGTGATAGCTCCATTTCCTGTGACAGAATCATAAATTCTCCGTCACGCTTATCTTTATATCCCCAGACAGTGAGAGCTTTCTAGGCTCTTTCAGTTCCCGACTCTGAGCCAAGGTAAGGTTTCTGACGGATCGTTTACCGATGTTACGACGCAACA